GACGAGGCGGATGAGGTGCGCCAACGGCGCGACGTTGAGCTCAGCTCGAACTTTGCGGACACCGTATGCATTCCCTGACCTCTCAACTTCCAAAGGAAGTGGTATTGTAAAAAATCGCCTTGACGAGGCACAGGAACAGCAATTAGGGGCTGCCCACAGGGCGGCTCTCATGCGCTCGTATCCACGTTCGGTGCTATACCTTCATGCGAAATTCGGCTTCTGATCGGCGGATTCCGCTACTGAACCGAAAGACGCGATCACTCGATTTTAGGCGTCTACGTAGTAGGGCCCCCAGCCACTACACCAGCTCAACTTGATCAGCGAAAAGCTCTTCAAGCACGCTTTTTGGTACCTTACAAATATCAAAGGATAGGTGGCGCGATCGACTTCGAGCTGAAAAAGGAAGCGCTACTGTACCCGCAACGCGGGCTATTCCTATGGTGCTCGCCCCAGGCGAAACCGATGCAGATGAACAAAACGCTCTTTGAGTGATAGGTGCAGCGACACGTTAAATTTTCCTCGCTGTCTATCCTACCCTACAGCGAAGCCACAAGGAACGCGCGCGTAGAGTACCATCTTTGATTTGAAATTGCCAAGCTCAAGGCGCAACGCCGACTTCCTGCGTATTGTCGCCCTGCGACATATGAAATAATTCATCACGCTCCCGCGAGCTTTGTGGATTCTCACACGGGAGAGTCTACGACCACAGCAGTTCAGGGTCAAAGCTTGAGCTCAGCTCATGGCCTTCCGGCTTGCCGGAGTACTGCCGAGAACCTCGGTACGCAAGACGACGTGAAGCGTCTTGATCATTCAGATCACAAGCGTCTCGTCTTGCTGAGGTCACCTACCGCTGTGCGGAAGGCCTCAAGAGCCTGAAGCACGTTGTGCACCGACTGCCTCACCTTAGGAATTATCGTGCTCTGTCGGAGCGGCTCCTAGCCATCGAGCATACAAATACGTCACTTTGTGCGACTATGGAGTTCCTTGCGTTGTTGAAAACGGAAGTTGTTGCACTCCGTGCTCAGAATCACCTGCTGGTTCAGCTTCTTGGTGGTTGAGCGCCTTTGGGTGCCCCTCTGCGACAACGCTTCCGCGTTCACTTGCGCTGGGTCCAGGTACAACTTAATGAAGCCTACATAAAACACCGGATGGATCCGCATTCTTCTCGGAAGGTTCAGCGTATACGCAAGACCTCGCTTGGCCACGACCTTAAAAGGCCCAATAAACCTTGGACGGAGCTTTGTCTTAGAGACAGCAGAGACTGCATATGTAGGAAGGTTTAAATGATTTAGTAAAACCAGGTCTTAGAACTTAACGTTTTCCACATTTCTTCTGCATCTTCCATTTGCATATTCCTTATGCATGTCTTGGCTTTCAGCCATCACATTGCAAACGTGTTGTAGGACTCTCAGTCGGGTGAACAAGAAGTCATCGACTTCTTTCCACCAAGCCTTGAGACATGGGTTGGTAGCGTCAGCGGGACGCGAGAATTAACAAGCCCGTTCACGCAAAACGGCGCGTAGCCGTTAGATGAATGCACTGCATTGTTCACAGCGAACTCTACGAATAGCAATATGGCGCTCCAGCGCTTCGGCGTCTCAGCGCAGACGCTGCAAAGAGCGTCTACAACGACGCGATTCAGAGCTCAGTCTGACCATCAGTCTGCGGATGGTCCGCTGATGACATAGTCTACTCGGTGCCCAGCACCCTGAGATTTGTAGACCAAAACTTTCCATTGAAGCACGGGTCTCTATCAGATATAATTGACTCCGGGAGTCCATGTTGTCGAACAACACAGTCGACAAACAGGGTCGCTGTGTGTATACCGTCGAAGGTGATGACACGTCTTACACGTGCGCACATATGTGCTCGTCCATCTGTACAGCCTGGGCCACCAATAGTGGAAATTAACCGAGCTGTAGGTCTTCTTACGACCGAAATTACAACTGGGTGGGGTGTTGTGGGCCTCATAGAAGGTACATTTTTAAAATAGGAACTACAATTTGTGGCGTATCCGTTGAATCGGTGCTATAATAGAGCAACCCGTCATTCAACAAATATCGGTGTTTCCGTACACGCACAACTTTTGTCCGAGTTTACAAACCCCTTGCTCCCGAGAGCCTTTAGCAGTGCTAAACACATACTACTACCCGAGTATGCGGCGCGGATCAAATCCGTCACTGACGACGTCACCGCCGTGATATGAGCAAGCTCATATTCCGGTCTGCGTGACAACGCAGCAGCCAAAACATTCTGCTTTCATGGCTTATACTTTATCTCGAAGTTATATTCTGCAAAGAATGAGAGCCACCCGGTCATTCTCTGCGAGAGATGAGGAGACTGAGTCGTAGAGCGCAATGACGCATCATCTGTGTAGATCACAAGCGGCATTGAGCGGAGCAGGTGCACGCTGAACTTGCAAAGTGCATACTTCATTGCAAGCAATTCCTTTTCGTAGACTGGCTAGATCATTTTGCAGACTTAAGTTAGCGAGATTCGAACGCAATCACCCAATCTTGCCCGTCGGCGTCTGCTTGCAAAAGTGCACAATCGATGGCAAAGTCCGGAGCGTCATAGACGACACTAAAAGACGGTTGGGGTCTGACAACGCTGGTATTGGTGCATGAAGGAGGCTGTCTTTAACCTTGTCACAAGCCTACCGATGCTCGGTGTGCCAACACCATTCCTTACCTCTTTTAGGGAGATTTGACAATTGCCGTGTCATTTCCGCATAATTTGCACTATATTTGTGCAAGTAGTTGGCGAGGCCAATCTACTTGCGCAACTCCTTTTGGTTCTTGGAGCTGGCCAATTCACAATGGCCTTGACCTTAGTGGGATATGCTCAAAGGCCACGCTTCTCGATGAAGCGCCCTAAAATGGAAATTTTTTCTGCACCGAAGATGCACTTATCAAGATAAGCATACAGCCTATTCGTGCGCATGCACTCGAACACCGTTCTCAGATAGACGATGTGGTTTTCCACATCTGTCCTCTCGTGCCCGTACCACTGTGGACGAAGGTGTCGTCGAAGTTGTTTGTGCATACGCCCGGTGAGGCATGAACATTTGCGTTACAAGACGATTCAATGTTGCTGGTGCTATCGATAGCCCTTGGGGCATCAATAGCTACTTCCAGAGCCGCTCGTATTACTCACCGCTGTCAGCGGAGTATCGCTCGCTCTCATGAGCAATTGGTGATAACCATCGATAAGCGAGTGTGTTGTACATTGTTCAATCAAACATGTTGTTCTGAAGAACATCTAGAAATCGGCGTCTGTGCCGGAATGATGGCAGCATATAGCTTATTGTAAGCGTGAACAATACACCACTGGCACAAAAGGTGAGTGGCGAATGGGGATACTATTTTCACGCACCATTCCTGCCTCGTGCTTCACACAGAAATAAACGTCAAGTACATCACACTACTTCTTGGGCAGGAGTCATAAGCGTGCTGCGCAGTATTTCGTTCCCGGAACCAGGTCAATCCATGACGCACATCTCGGTCCGGAGGATGGACCGTCGGCGGGTTTTTAGAGACGACGTCTTCAACTTCTAACACCAAAGGACAACACGGATCCAAGGGATCCTTTATGATCAACGATCTACTTCGTGCGTTCAGCACCCTTTAAGTGTCTTGCAGTACAGCTTTATCCAGATGCGACCACGCATTAATTTCCTCGTTGGTCGTATAATGACCTCATCGGTTAAATTGCCTGCTCATAAGCAACGCCTAACGTTTTGAAGGACATCTCGTCCAGCTCAAGAAGAGCATCCACCGCTGGAATAGCCTCGAGGGTGACGTCGCCGTCTTTCTTTCCCGTCATACCGCTGCCAAAGGTATATAGCTGTGCGCTATCGTCTACATAGACACACCCTGGGTCGAGGTGGATACCCTGCGTCTTGCAGATATCATACGGCTTCGCTGTCTCCTCTCTATTTTACGTCTCATCGGAACCAGCGGGAACATACACTCGGCATCGCCCAGTGTCCCCACTCCCTGCTTCATCGGAGTCTATATGTTTTTACCTACATCCGACGAAGAGTTGCTATTTCCGTGATTTTCTTCCAGTGGATAACGTGCCACTCCACGCGCATCGGAAGGTCCTTGCCCATGCTGCCTCAGACCTCGTCCGACCATGCCACTCTTGGCATGCAGAAACTGCATCAATACGTGAGCAGTGCCCAGTGAATTTCGTGCCACACCACGTGCATCACTGAGACCTCGCCCTCGATGCCTCGGCCCTTGGCCCACTGCTCCAATACTTGAGCAGTGCTCTATGGGTTACGTACTACTCCACGTTTAGCCCTCGAGCCACGCTCGGGACTCCTGTCCAAAACTCCTTTAGTGTTCGACAACTCGGATAAATCGATATCCAGCACATTGTCCGTCCCGGTCCAGTGCCCGCGCCAATAGCGCTTCTGCTTACTAGCAGAGGTGTCGACTCACCAAAGCTTTACTAGGAGATGTGCGCGTAGCGCATAAGGTCTTCGACCTCCAATCGATCCATGGCTCATGGTGTTCCAACCATGCCATACCAA